GTTTAAACTGTGTTGGTCTGGGACATCAATGTGCATATACTTCCGTATGGAGACAATGCCATGTTGGTGGCTGAGAACCAGAATGATTTGCAGCAAATGTTAGATAAACTGTATGATGCAACAAGAAGTATGGATCTGAACATTACTGTATCGAAGATAAAGATAGTTGTGTTTGACAGGGAAACTGGTATAGACAATTGCAAATTATATATAAATAGCAGAAAACTAAAATTTGAGTATTTTGATAGAATGTTTACTAAAGAGGGGAAATGGAGAAATTTTAAGATGTGGAAATGCTGGTAGAAAAATAGTAGATCGTACATGGTCTGTTGCATAGAAAGAATGTTTGTCAAAAGAAGTTTCAATCATTCACTATAAGAATGTACTTCTTCCCACTTTGTTATGTGGTAGTTGAGTATATTAGAAGAACATAAAAATAAATGTAATGCAGTATGAATGAGTTACTTAAGTGTGCAGGGTAAAATAAGAAGAGAAAGAGTCAATGAATAGATTTAATACAACAGCAAAAGAATTAAAGTATGTAAGACACATACTGAGATTGTTTGATCATATAAAGAGAAACAATGAGGACAGAATGGCAAAATCAATATATGAATACTGTAAATAATATATGAAATAATATATTTCATATTATTTATTCAGTATATATTGAATATATGGGTTGAGAGAAAGTTGGGTTTGGATGGAGTTGGCAAGACCGTCAAAAATGAAGAAAGTATAAAAATTTGAGGTATAAAATACAGTAAATGAAGCGGTGTATGGACATGATAGAAGCAAGTATGGAGAAGTATGATATCAGTGTAAAATAATGTTATTGTAGCTATCTTTTTTTTTTCTTATCTGAGGCCTTTAACTTCATTGGCTTAGTACGTCTTTTTCCTTTTCTGTGGTCTGCATAACATTCCAAAACAGAATAGGATCTTGGATATATATGTATATATGCATTACCTGAGTAAAAAAACAAGAACAAAACAACCAAAATAATTGATTGGTGACCAGACGCAGGCCTTAACCTTTCTATCCATATGATAGAATAATTTCTCAGAAATATAACTCCCATGCAAACATCTCACATTTATATCTAGTTCATCCTCACAACCATTTTAAACATTTATGTACAGGTAGTCCTTGCTTAATGACCACTTGTTCAGTGAACTTACGATGGCACTGAATGAGTGATATTTACAACCAGTCCTTGCAATTACAACATCAGAGCATCCCAAGGGCACGTAATCACCATTTGCTATCTTCTTTGCGGCTTCCTACAAGCAAAGTCAACAGGAAGCCGGCAGGAAGTCGTAAATGGTGATCACGTGACATCATGCTTAACAATGGTGTGGTATTCACTTAATAACAGCAACTGGGAGTGCCAGAACTGCTGTTGCTAAGCAGTGTGGTCATGTGACATCATACTTTACAACCGCATTGCTTAGCAACGGAAATTCCAGTTCCAATTACCATTGTTAAGTAAAGACTACCTGTATTTATTTATTTGCACAGATTTTAAAATGGCCAATTTCAGATGACCTGGCCTTAAAATCCAGGTCATAATCTATGCACATAAAAAATTAGAAATTTCCACTGTATAAACTGCCTGTATTTTCTCATCAGACTTATTTCTCTATATACTTTATATTGTATGAGGAGCATAACCTTTTTCTATAGTCCGATAACTGTTACATCTTTTTTTTTTTAATATTTTATATATATTTGTAGATGTAGGTAATTGTCTTTTGACAGGTTCAAGAGTGTCCTCGGGGAATGGTAAAACAAGGTGGCAGCTGTGACAGTGGGATTGAAGCTCTGTCATGTTTTTTAGGTGTGTTGCACATAAAAAATGGGCAGAGCTCCAGTCACACCATCATGGCCACCATCCTGCCTTTTTTTAAACTATGTCCTGTAGACATCTCTGACAGAGTTAGAGTTAAGATTAAATGAATGTTGGATGTCTTATGGAACAGTATTAATAATAGTCACAGTATTTAGTATCAAGGTCATGTGTTTGGGGAAAGCTGGTTGAGTCTTACTAGGACCTCTTAGTGGTGTCATTTGATTTTAATGATGTTTTCCTTTTCTTCAGAAAATTACAAAAATACCAGATGAAGTATGCAAATAACCTTGCAATCAAAGACAGCATTCACTGCGATGTTTGCAAGGTTTATCAAACCCTCCAGGAGATGAAAGAAAAACGGGAGCAGCAGCTGATGGATGTTGAACGACTGACCAACACGCTCACTCGTATCGAGGAGGAAATGGTCCAGTTGCGTAAAACATATGAGAAGGCTGTTCAACGGCGAAATGAGAGGTATGGAGACTGGTCCTTAATGCCTTGGTTGATTCTACACCATTTTTCTTGAATAGTAATTTCCATTGATACAAATAATTTATTTACATCTCCAGCTCTAGTATCTTATCTTGGTGGGGGGTCAAAAAAGCCAAGATATCTCTGTAACTGGGCAATCAAAACCCCAACACACATAAAAAAGAGGTGGGACTTTGCATGTACCACCTTGGCTACCATTTTGGCTATTTTTATCTCTCCCACCCCAGGCACCCTTCATTGTAACTTAGTCTTCCAGCCATGAATATTTTGTTATCCTTGTATTGCAGTTCGATTTTGCTTGCAAGATTATGTGTCCTAGGAAAATATGGCAATAGTCATTGTGGAAGAATTCATAACAAGCAAGCAAAGAGAGAGAGATACAGAAAAAGTAACTTCATCAGTACCATTCTTGCACCTTGTTAATTTGACTAAGTTTCAGCCTTAACATATATATGAAGGAAAAAGCCCCAATGAACATAGATGGGCTAATTTCCAAATAAACATTTATAGGAATCCACCACTGAAAGTATTGTTGTGGCTGCATTATAATATAATCCAGATAAATCTGTTGCAATAATACTGAATTACCTTTAAAAGCCTAACAATGAATGTGCTTTTACATTTATCTGGAATATTCACACATTTGTATGTCAATCTGTGAGGCTTATTTTTGAAAAATTGTTCTTAAAAATATGGATTTTTAAACAATAATAAGCAATTATATTTGATGGACAATTGTTCAGAGACTGAACAAAAACAAAGAATGAAAAATGTTAGCTACTTTTTAAAAAAATTATTTTGACTCCTAAAGTGTGGTTGATATTCTAGCCAATGCCAGAAATTATTCCTGAATAAACAGAATATTAAGGAAGAGGAAATAACACCTTCTAAGAAAACCAAGTCTATGAAATATTGCTTATTTTATTTACAATAAATGTACTGTTAAAATTCTGCTTGAAGGGTAGCTTAAAGTGAATCAAATCCTTTATAATCTACATTTAAAGTCTTTACTTTGGATTTCATTACAGCGGAGTTCAGCTCATAGAACGTGAAGAAGAAGTGTGTATTTTTTATGAAAAAATAAATATTCAGGAAATGATGAGCCGAAATGGTGATATAGAGATTAATGTGATGGATGAGAAAATACGCTTTCTAAATCTGAAGCTAATTGAGAAAAAGAGGCAGATTGAATTATCCATTAAAATGCTGCCGATGAAAAGAACTCTTGATGCTGATTTAGTGGTCCTTCAGATTCAGGTATGCAATGGAAGACACTTTTTCCCAGGCAGATTTTTCATTTTAAGGTGAAGAGCTAGAACTTCCCTGTCTGATAACTGGGTTTCCTCCTGGTGGATCTTCTCATTATATCTGCAGAGTTAGTACTCTGAATGAATGTAACTTTCTTCCTGCCTCATCATTTCTGGTGGGAGGAGGACTTTGAAAAGGGGCAGAATGGGTGGTGTAAATCATCTGCTTTTATTTAGTCCTCACTGTCTATTGTATTTGACTTTTGATCAGTTTAATTATTCACAAATAGGTTGATGTTCTGTAAATAGCAAAAAAAACCCCCACAGCTAGTGATCACACCTCTTTTTAAAAGGGGGCGGAGCATAGTAACATGTGACTTCTCGTTGTTGTTTTTTTTCCCCACCCTTCTACCATTAGCTACTAAACGTGACCTGAAACCAGCTTTGTAGAACTGTTGTTGCTTGAAACAAGATAAAAAACATAGGCAAATTTGGAAGGATTAAAGATTTAGTATCTCTGGTTGGCAACTTTATGAAATGAAATGCTGGACCAAATGGTGGACCTTGGCTTAATCCATTAGGGCAGTGTTGTCCAAACTTGGCCACTTTAAGATGAGTGGACTTCAACTCCCAGAATTCCCCAGCCAGCATGCATTAGGGCCACATTTATGCTATGTTAAATGTTAATTCTTATATAGACAGAGGCATAACTACATATGAGCTAGGAGCTTGCATGCACACACAGAATTTGCCAATTTCTCTTCTAGTATTAGAAATTCATGCCCCATGAACTACTCCGCTGAAGAGAGTAGGTTTTGGAGCAGACCTTTGGAGGTTGACATCTGAATGAGAGACGAAAGCCTCTGCATTAGTGATAGAGAAATCATTGCTCCGTGAATCTTAAGCAGGATCTGCAGCAAGGTTTCTGTTCAGAAGAGGAACTCTGCTCAGTTCCTTATTTGAGCTTTCATGTTAAAAAACATTAAGTTGTGTGTTATGATCTGTTGTCTAGAAACCATTCCAATCTAAGCTTAATTGCACTTTCACTCCTGTTGCTGTCAAACAGTAGTTCAATTCAGTCAAACAATTCTACAGTAGACAAACTCTGTTTTGCTTTCTATTAATCCTTGCACTGAACAGTGAAGATCTCATCACTAAACAAGAGAAATACTGTGAACCTCTTTATTGTAGGAACATTCTTTCCTTTCTTTCTGAAAAAGTCTACTTACTTTTGACCTTATCAATGCATTGTAGTTTTTTCCCATGGCGTTTCTTTTATTCATTCCTATATAGACTTCTTACTTTTTACATATTTTCATAGTAAAAAAATGTCACTGAGTTGAAGCTCAGCTACACCTCCATTAGTTGGTTTGCTTGTTTTTAATTATACAGGGGGTACCAAAGGTCAGATCCCATAGACAATTTATTATATAAACTAAATGTTTGGTTTGATTGCTGTTTTCTTCTAAATACTTCCTTACTTGTTTGCTGCATAACTTTTGAACAGTAACATTTTCTCTGGAAAGTTGTAATTAATAAACATGCCGCGATGGGCTGATGGGGCCTGACTTTTGGTACACCCTGTAGATTTGTCTTTATTTACTCACCCATTTAATTTGATATACTGCCAAGTACAAAATCTCTGAGCAGTTTGAAGTAAAATTTAAAATTGAGACATTAAATCAGTCCAGACTAAAGCATTTTTAAAAGCAAGTAAAACAAGTAAATTAACAGATAAGATCAGCAGTTAAAAGCTTTTCAGAAAGATGGGTTTTAAGGGTGTTTTTGAAAGCTAATAAAGAACTTTCAGCTCTGGAGAATGCATTCAAAAGTTGGGGCAGCAACAGAGAAGGCTCAGTCTTGAATCCCCTCAAGACACGTGCCTACCAGTTGCAGGTGAACCTCCTCAGATGATCTCAGTAAGCATGGAGGTTCATAGAGAAGGAGGCCTTCTCATCAGTTGCCTGGGCCTAAACTAAGGCTTTCAAGGGAATGACCAGCTTTTTGTATTTTGCTCGGAAACAGTTTGTAGCCAGGACATTGTTTTAAGCACAGGTGTAATGTAGTATCTGCATTTTTCACAAGACCAGACTGGCTGTCAGGTTTTGTACTAACTGAAGTTTCCATACTTGACACAAAGGAAGCCCTATGTAGAGTGCATTACTGTAGTCAAGCTTGGAAGTGTCCAGTGCATGAACCACAGTTTTAAGGTAATTCTCTTCAAGGAAAGGATGCAATTGGCATATCAGCTGGAGATAATAAAAGGCACTCCTGGTTGTTTCCTCAGTCAGGGAAGCCAGAAAGAGATTTGGGCTCAGAAGCAACCCCCAAATATGTATCTGCTCTTTCTAAGAGTGTAGTCCCTTTCAGTACAAGCTGATCTACCACCTCTCTTCAATTATGGAAGTTCTCAGTGAGCCTCTCTGTCTTGTCTGGATCTAGTTTCAATTTAGGATCCCTCATCTAGCCCATTACTGACTGCAGACAGGCATTCAGAGGAGCCACAACATTTCCTGAAGATGGCATCAAGAAATACATCTGGGTATCCTCAGTATACCGATAGCATCCAGCTCAAAACCTCCTGATCTCCTCAGTGGTTTCATGTAGATATTGAAAAGCACTGGAGACAGTGGAGCCCTGAAAGGCATCATATAATAGCTCCCATTTTGAGCAACAACTTTCATGAGCAAATCCAGGACCATCCATCAGTCTCAACCTCATAGCCTGCCTTGCAGCCAGTTTGAAACGGGTCAGAATGATCTTCTTCCAGGACTGGCTGCAGTTAAGAAGCAAGTCTTCTCCCAATCACCTTAGACAGGTTGGAGACTGGCCTAAATTGCCCATCTCAGAACAATCCACAGCAGACTTAAGTCTAATAATCGCCTCCTTGAAACATGGAGGTACCTTGCCGTTCCTCAGCAAGACCTTTGTGATAGGTCTATTTTTAATCATTTTAATAATTATTTTTATTTTTAATTCCCAGTAGAAGTTATAAGTCAGGTTGGACAAGGATCCAGAGGGCAAGTGGTTGAACATACTGCTCCTGGCAGTTTGTCCACATTCTCAGCTATCACACATTGAAATTGATCTAGTCTAATTATACAAACAGGTTACCATAGCTGATCTTATATTACAGGTGGTATTCAGGCCAGCACACAGAAGGAACTTTATCCACAAAAATAAACCGTTGAAAGCACTACAAACTTTTAAGGATCCTGTAATGGAACTCTGGAGGATTTGGGCTTCATGAAATAGCACTGTCATGAATACAGGCTTAGCCTATACTGTGGATAAGCACAAGGGGTAAATAGGGCACTAGAAGACACTCATCCTTTTAACAAGAACTAGCTAAGACTTCCTTAACCTGGTCTCTAGTTGAACCAATTTCCAGCCATTGGAGAGAAATTTGCCTCTGAATTTTTACTGCGTAGTTTCGTAAGTGTACTCTGGGTAATGTACGGATAGCGGGGACCTATGACAGCATGTATAAATTTTGTATAGTGCTGTACTGCTGCATTTTTAAGTGTTCACTGAAACTATAACCACATCCTGTTATTAGGAGGTACATGCATTTTTTTCCCCCTTTGTACTTTTCATTTTGTAGCATGCCGCGTCCTGTTTGGCTGTTGTGGAGCGTCACAAACATTTCACATTTTCCTGAAATGTTGCAGTCCAGCCAGTTTTTAAAACAAAATGTTCTTGGGAAGCATAAGCATTTTTACCTTATTTTCGTACATTAGTTCTCCTCCTCCCTTTTGAGTTATTTTGCTGAGGGTTCTGTTTTGTTTTACACCTTTTTCCTGTGATGCAAGTTATCTTCTGAGAACAGGAAGTGAGCGAATGGTGTAACTTTGCAAGGAAAAAAAAGAAGTTCCAGAGAATGAATCACCTGCTGATTGTCTTTTGACAAAATATTCATTTTGTGGCTGAGATCAGTTTTCTTGGAATTTGTTTCACAAAAAAAAAAAAAAAAAAAAAA